TTAATTATTTCAATAGTATTTTATCTTCACTAGCAAATATAACTTTCTTTTTTCAGAATGTACTGTTGATGATTACTTATAAATCTTCTATAGAACATATATTTGAAAAGTAGAATCTTTTTCAATTGATATTACTAAAAACTTTTTAAAATATAAAAGTTTATTTTTTAGCTCTTAGTGCTATTTTTCTCATTATATATTCTTATATCATAATCTCAGTGATTTTACCTTTCTGTTCCTTATCTTAACTTTATCAAAAATATATATCTCTGTGTCTAAAGTCTTGATATCAATAAATTTTTTGATAATTTTTGAATTTAATTTTTTTATGTTAAGAAATAATTACATCTAAGTGCTTTTACTATTTTTTTGAATCTCTAACTAACTCAGTATATCTACTAGTATATTCTGACACTTAGACTGATATTAAATTAGAAAGTAGAATCAGAAGAGAAATTCTGCTCAGTGTATTTATCAGACATTGAGATTCTTAATTGTCATAAAGTACTTAATAATATGATAATTAGTCAAGATATTAAATTTCTCTATTCTTTGAAGATCTCTTAGCTTAGCATATCATTTTATTAATGCTCTCATAATTATTAGTATCTTTTTATCATAAATTATATAGTAGTTTTCTCTGCTTCACTTATTGAAGCTGAGTAGAAAATAACTGAATATTACTATATATTCTCACGTAACTAAAATAGAATATCAGCTATAATATATTTAAAGGATTCATCTTCACTTATATTTCTTAATTTAAGTTATAATAATAGAGCAATAGAGCTTTAGATAGAACTCTCTTTATTTGATTAAAAATATATTGATAGATCTTATTTCATTCAAAGATTGATTTTTTTAAATAAGCTTAAACAGTGATTTCATAATCTAATAGTATTTCTTGATAAAATACTGATAGAAGTTACACAATATCAAGAAAAATTAAACTTTTTTAACTGTATTAGATACTGTTTATCTTAATATCATTGTAATTTTTTCTAAGTCTACTTTAATTTCTTGATCAATGATAATAAATTTTAAATACTTTATTTATTAAATATGAAACTTTTATTTTAAGATACCTATCTATAGTTTAACTTTTCACAATCTAGTTAACATCTTCTTGATATAGTTTTTATATTTTTTTAAGATTTTACTGTATATAAATATATTATTTACAAAAGCAGTTATAAACTGATTCAAGTAGTTAAAGAAAATAGTATTAATAAAGTATTAAAAAATTATCAGATTATTGCTTAGATCAAAGAGTACAATTTTATACTTGTAAATCTCATAATATATTCTAAAAATAGTTAGATCTTTAGTCTTAGAGTGTATATATATTTAAAGAAAACTTTAATAAATATTTAATTTGATAAAGAACTTAGTCTCATTTAATCACTCTATGAGCTTATCAACTAAAGAAATTGAATGTTAATTCTTCTTTAATATTGTGTTAAGCTGATAATAATTTATATAGAACTTTAGTTTACTTACTGTATAATCTATAAAAATTGAAGTTATAAATAATAAAATAACTGATAAAATAAAACTCTTTTATAGATTGATCTTAAGATACTGTTTAATCATTTCCAGTTTTTTTAAACTCATTCAGTATAATGATATATGACTGAATAGCTTTATTTGAATTAGGTTTTTTTCTAAGTTAATTTTATAGTTATTCCTCTTTTATATAGTATGATTGATCAGA